GATACAGAGTATTGCATTTTCCAAATCTCTCTCAGCATCCATCCACCTGACCCAACTCTAAATATTTACCACATTGTTTCCAAGTTATCCACCCTGGACTCACACTCCAGTCAGTGGACAGAAATAAGTATTTTCACCCCAAGCTTCCAGAGGCTTTGCTCCAAATGAAGATAACCTTGCTCTTTTTTCTCCCCTCTTTTTAGTGTGTAAGGACTTGATACAGCTACCTCAGATGGAATAAAGTTATGCAAGAGAAATTCCTCCCTTTAATGGAATTTGAGATTCACTGCAAGTGTTTGAGGAGCTAGGAACATCCAATAAACACCAAACATCAGAAGATTCATGACTGAGTGTCATAAGTAAGGACACTGGACATGAGCAAAGACAGATAATTTCTGCATGTCACATTTTCTACCAAATTAATTTGGCACTATTCCCAGACGTTGTTATTCACTTTCCACTTTTAATTAAGTAGTCAAACTTCACTAGAACAACCCATTGCAGAAAGCCAAGCTGTGTGAACATTCACAGAAAGCAAGGCTTCTTTTTGTGTCTTTTTTATTAAAATTCTGATGAGCATTCATTCTTCTTACAATCTGTGGCAAATGGAAGTACTTATTTCTCAGTGTGGCAAATAGTTGTACTCAAGAGCTTTGAGAAAAAGACATCTCAAAAGACTCTAAGTCACTTCTAATAAAACTGCAGGAGTGAGAGACCCCACCAACTTCTGAAGAACAAAGGAAAAGGATAATATAGTGGAGGGAACCACTCAAAGACACTTCACATTCACTTGTGATTTTCTGAAGTGATTTTCCCCATATAAGAGAGTCAAATTCTGGATTTTTGTCTTCACTAATTTTGATAATCTATCTGCAACTTGAGATGGCCTAGGAGAGATGGTACAACATATAGCCAAAGACCACATGCAGCCCTCTAAACTATGTTTGACATGCCAATGGCACGGGGAGGATATCTGATGCTTGGCCACCTGGAGGTAGATCCATGCAGAGAGGTCCAGCTACAGAGAGCACACATCTGCCAGTGTCACATCCCACATCTATCTGTCTACAGCACATCCAAATATCTCTCAGAACAAGTCAATTGGTAAAATGAGCAAGATTGGTGAAAGGAACATTGGAAAGTCAAAAAGTGTAGAAGATCAGAGCATCCAGGGAATAAGTAAGGTGGAAGGCGAAAAGAGCAGGGGTCATTGCACTGTGTGGGGCATCAGGGATGTTACATCAGAGGTGTTGACAGTGAAGATCTGAGCATCCCACCCACACATTTGTATCAGATATCCAGGGTATTGACATAAACAGAACTGAGAGAAATGGAACATCATCTGGTTTTATTTTAAATTGCTCTTACAGAAATGTACCAGAAAGCTTTCGCTACAGCACAACACCACATAAGAAACACTATAGACCCTCTATCTCACTTGGATTTGATGGTACTTAAATCAGGAGTTCTTTAAGCCCCAGTAAATGCCACATTCTTCCCCATGGCTTTTGCTTCAGATATTGTTAGCCATAGAGAGAACCACACAGTTATGGCACCAGCAACCTGAAGACCTCAGATACCTAAGTAAGACCAATAAAGTCCATGAGTCACGGTCTCAGGGGAATCAGAGCTACTTGGCATGCACCCATAGAAGGTCAATTGGAGCACAGGAGACCATTTCTAAATAACCCAGAGCATCACTACTGAGAAAAATAAATAGAACTATGTATCTTGTTTCCACATCTTAGCTGGCTAAATAAATAGCTCTGATAGTGCGCTCTCCAGGGCAGATTCTTAAAGTGACCTTGGTCACACTGCTGCCCAGGACAGGAGAATGCGGGTGTATCCACCAGAGAAGTGGTGCATTTTCAGTGCTGCATTCCTGGCAGCTGATCAAAGAACAAGGGTAATCTCAGCCCCCACAGTTGCCGGCTGTTCCTTCCCAGCAGCAAGGCAAATCATGGTGGCACGTAGTTATGGAGAGAAGGTATCAAGGACAAATACAAAGGGAGGATCAGAGGCTTGCAGGGAAGACATTACAAGATTTCCCCTGTAGGCAGGTTACAGACTAACGTTCTCTTCAAGCTCTATACTAATAGCCAAAAAAGAAGGACATGTTTTTTTGAACAGCTCACTACACCAAAATAACTTGCTCCAGATTTCATAGACCCTTTGGAAAGGCTATGCATTTCCTTCAAGTAAGATGACCAGCAAGACATACTGAACTAGACAAAGCACATGCCCCCCCACTTACACTTTCTCCCCCATCTCAGAAAGCCCACCCATAAACCCCCCTACCACAGGAACCCTATAAGTTTTAAACCATAGCTGCTCAAACAGTAGAAGCACATTCTTTACACATACCTCTATTTTTTGATGAGCTGTAAAGATACCCAGGATTTTCAAAACACAGCTATTTACAACTACCAAGAAAGAAGATTAGAACCCATTCTGTAGACGGGAATTCTAGTCTCAAGACCTACATTTTTTCTAGCAATATTGCTTAAGACCCCTTTCCCCAGTGAGCATACTGTTCCCAAAACAGACTGCAAACAAATACAATCCCCAGTGAATAAAAGGAAACTAGTACCTTTAAATAGGTGGCAAATGCTTTTTAAAACAAAACAGTGTAGTGTGCTTCTTCTGACGTAACACAGCCTGTCTCCATTGCACCATTGATCTTCTCAGCTGCTTCTAGTTATTAAATGAAACAACCAACTTTGACCTCCAGGCAAACTATCTGAGTGGCTATCAGGCTTCAGCTGATTTATGGTTCTCACAGGTTAAACCATGTGTTTATGGAAGCTAAATCACTTTTTTCTAAGCTTTAATAAAGGAAATTTTTGAGACTGTATTTTCTTCTTCTCTCTCCAGAGACCCTCTCAAAGAAATAGTTTAAGAGTTGTTCAAAACAATTTTTGTAGATGAGATGAGAAGAAACAAACACCAAATATTGCAAGTTGGCATTCTGTACCTCTAAATAAATCTCAGCAAAAATCTGATCTAGAAATGTATGACATACTAAGATGTCCCCTTCCCTAAGAGGAAGATGCAAATGGAAGAAGAAACTTTGCACAAATTGATTTAAAGAGCTCTCAGGCACCCAGTCCCAATGTTTAACAAAGAACTGATACAGACCCAAGTTCCCTTACACCCACATCCTGACTTATGAGGAAGCCACACAAGTAGAACTAACTCCAGTCCAATCATAGCCAACGCTTTGGGAAAACACAAGAAAACCAGGGAATTGAGTGGAATTTGCTTACTTAGTTAAGTTAATGGACTCATCAGTCATTTTTGCTTGCTTCAGAAGTTCAACTCTGGAACTAACTTATCCTGGGCTCTGCTGCCATTTCCAGGCTCCCTGAGTCTTAAAGATTAAAGTTGTAACACAAGGCCTGAGGGGAATCTTAGAGAGTGCTCAGATATCCTAGGACTAATACCGTAACAATAATATTCTTTGAGCTGTGTGATATCCCAACTGTTCCTGTGCAGGAACATCCTGATATCTTACTTTTGGAGAGACCATGTAGCCGAATCACAGGTATGCTGGCTAAGAGAGAACTGAAGCTGTGAAGCATTTCCAGGTACTTAGCACCACACTAGAAAGCCAAAACTGCAGACAAAAGTGAGTTGGCCTCCATTAACAAGGCAGCTGCAGGAAGTCATGTATCTGCTGGGCCCACTCACTATCTTATTTAGCAAGGCAAACTGTTCAATTTTTTTTTTATAGCCCCAGATGCACAGGCAGGAGAACTGGAAGCCTGACGCATTTAGCAAACAATAGTACCATGTGCTGATGTTCAAGTTCATAAATTGTTGTTAGTAGGAAACCCTTCCCTTACAGTGTGTTGTGTAACTGGCCTTGTTGGGAGAACTGGTATTAATCTTTGACAATTATGCCAGGAGGGGCAAGATTTATTAGACTTCTCATCCAGGGTGACAGGTCCACTTCCCAGCTACAGCTGTGCATTAAAAGGTCAAACTGTTGTGCCATGTCTGTCCACCTACCTCTCACCTTCACATCATGCCCATCCTAAAGCTACTTCCTCAGTAATCACCAGCCATGAACTGGACCTAAACCTGACAGATTGTTGTCATGTTGTTCCTCAGACATTCATGAACAGCCAGTGTTATGTGCTCCACATGGCAGAGCATGTCTAAAGGAGAGAACCAGCAGGTTCTGTGTTGCTTTAGTAAACACGATTGTGTGAGCAGAGGTCATAGTGGTAAGTTCTGCCTTTTGTTTGTGATGAGCAAGCCACAGAAATATGTTATGTCCTTCTGAGGATGTTTGTTTTCTGTATTTAAAAGTTTGCCTTGAAAGGTACCTGGGGATGTGGCCATAATCTTGAATCTGAGGAATAACGTTCATCATTGAGATGGAGATACAAAATGGACAGAAAAATAAATAAATAAATAAGAACAAAAAAAAAAAAAAAAAAAAAAAAAGCAAAACAAAGCAAAACAAACAAACAAAACACACACAATTATTTGAAATATTTGGAATGGGCTTAAAAACAGACCCAGGTTAATACTAGCAAGTACTGTCATCCACCAAAAATATCATGATGACCTGGTCACAACTCTCTCCAAAAGGAGGGAAAGAAAGAACTGCCACAATTTCCTTGTACCTGCTCCTAGGCCACTGGTGACAGGAGGTTCTTGCTAAGGGACAGGCAGGAGCAGTTTGCCTACTGCTGGGATGTGCTTCTCAAAATCCAGTCCTGACTGGAAAATGAAGGACGATACCTTGCAATCAAACTGCCATCACAATATAGGGTACACTACAAATAAATGGCCACCAGCATGAATCATATGATGAATCACAGCACAAGCAAGTCCTTCGGGGAGCTATTTCTGCCTCTTAAAAAACTCTGCAGATTTAAAGCAAGTGGAAATTCTGCATCCATTTCTGATTTCTTTGCCTTTTCAAGTGGAACCAAAATTTTATTTCTTGCTGGCCAGGAAAGATGAGTTCCCTTGTGGCTACTGCCTACCTGACTGTCCTGATGTGTCGCTTGCTGTAGGGGGTGATGACTTTGAAAAGCAGCTCCATAGCTCCATTGATGCCAAGCGTGGTTCCTGCAGTAACTGAAGCAATAAAAGAGAAAAGCAGTCAGCTCTGAAGCAAGTGGTCTTCGCTACTGTGTTTAGAAGTGATGCAGGGAAGGGAGTAGCTGCCCTTGGGGCTATGTGCAGGTTTCTATGGGCTTCTAACTGGACTGCAAAGATCATTTTACAGGCACAGAAGTGCAACAGAGAGCTGTCTGTGGACACACCCTGAGACAAGGTCAGACACAAAACGAGTTCTCAGATTCTGCACTTCTTCTGAGCTTCCCAAAACCTCTTTCCCAGTGGATATTGTACTCTCGAGGGAACAAATCATAGTTAAATAGGTTCAGGAATATGGAAGGGCTCAAATTCTTCCTGCATTTCCCAGAGGCAGCTCCATGCAGATGGCTTATTCCACATGGATATGGAGGGTCGAGGTTTCTTTCTGTGCTATTACTCAGCATTTTGGAAGTATATTTTTGGAAGGGGTGCTTCAAGTGCAGCCTAATTTCAGCTACCATTAGTCTTTCACTTGCTAGCACACCAGGAGCTTGTATAGATAAGGTTTGCAATTGATTCTAAAAATTCCCAGAAGCTGTTTAGCCAGGCCTCAGCACCATGAGCCAGGTTCTCTGTGTAAAGAAGGGGTAAATAAAGCTCTAAAATGTTAAATGCAAGTGAACAGGGTGAAGGGATCAGTAATCAAAAACAGCCAGAGGGAGACCTGGCTGTCTGCCCACTAGTAGGTTTTGCCTATTTTGTAAATATTTCCTGGTGGTCATTAGAGAGCTGCCAGAGGGCCCATCATCTCCTGCTGTCCTGCTGTGCCTCCGCCAAGTTGTCCGGTGATGGAAAGCCTTGTGTGGCTTGCCAACTACTTTCACTGTAGCTGGTGATTCATTAGAGACAGGGCAGTGGACAAGGCTTCTTGAACTCATCCTGCCCCAGAGTGGGAGGTAGGCTGCCACATGCAACTGGTGGCAGAGACTGTGAAGGGAGAAATGCAGGTCAAAGAAGCGTGACAAGGATTTGTCTTTTCTGCTTTCATGCCTAAGCACTCTCAGAGTTTTATATATTTGTGCATCCTCACTAGTTCCACTCCATAAAAATAATCTTTAATGTAGGGAGCGTGTGATCTCCTAGTTTGGTACCACATCCTCACAGACCTTCACCTAACCTCCCTTTCAGCTTTCCAGCTGGGCCACAGAGACCACGGAGTCAAAATTGGTTGGACAAGGTGGAAGCACAGCTGGTGAGGTGGAAGTACCTGGAGAGCAACAGAGCTCTGTGAAGGAACAGAGGATGGGTTCTGGGGTAGAGTAAGGGGCTTGACATGAACAGAAAGGAGGCCAGGCTGCAGTGCACATCCTGGAACTTCTGCAACATCTGCAGCTAAAATGGATGCAGGTGCACTGAAGCAGGGAGCAGCGATTGGTGTAGATCATCATTTTGGGTGGGAGGCAGCACACGGTCACTACCACAGCTGTGAAACCCAAATAAAGGCACATTTCAGCTTCTGGCCTTGGCTGCACTTTCAGCCAGACTCAGCCTTTTAAATGCTGTCTGTTGCAGGGAGAAGGGTTGAATGTTGAGGCTTGGCTGCTTGCCTGAGAAAGCCCATTGCATGAAACTAGCTCCTGTACAGCTAGGAGGGACCTGCAGGGCTAGGAGCCAGGAATGTTAAATCTTAGGATGCAGACTGCAGGCAGGATGGATGTCAAGAGTTATCTGCAGGTGAAGGAAGCAGGGAGGGAGAGGAAATGGTTGGAGTGAGCAAAGGGAAACTTGTGCTGACAAACTCAGTGCTCTATAGTAGGAAAAGCCTGTATGAATTTGTAATGATCCCTGGAGAGAATACTCGAAATCTCATTACTTGAGTTGTTTAATATGAGGGCATAGTTAAGCAAGAAAAGCTGGAAGAGTGCATGAGGGGAATACTAAGACAGAAGACCAGGTATTAAGTTCCCAGCTCTAATATGTGCTTCCTGAGGGACCTTGAATAAGTCAATGATTTCCCTCTGCCTTTCTCCACCTGCATTTCCCTTGCTTGTGGAGCTGCTCTGAGAAACTGCATAGAGGCTTAAGGTACCTAAGTCTCAGCAAAGGAATTGACTGTGTATATTATGGAATAGGAGATCATTATTGTGAATAGTTTTTCACTATAGCACTTATGTTTTCATAGCCTGCAAGTGAAATACACTGTATAGAACTTGTGGGGAATACCTCTTTCTAGGACTGTTCTGGCTTTTCAGTCCAATTCTGTATATTAACAGTGCATGCAGGCACTTGCCTTAAACGGGAATTATGTTTAATTGCTCTGAAATGATGAAGAAAGAGCTATTGTCCTTTCCATGATGAGGAAAGGAGGAAAACCCAGGTACTCACCATTGGAAGCACAAACGCGCAGGACCCAGAGGCAGTGGGTGAGGTTCAGGTGGTGGCCCAGATTTTGTCTTGTCAAACTCAGGATTACATCAGTTGCTTCTGCCTTCTGTACTTTCAGCCCAAACTTCCTATCTGTGAAAAGCAAAGCAGAATCAAAATTATTATGAAGACCAAGCCTCTGCAGCAGTGCTGTTAAGCATAATTGAACCATGCCTAAGCTGCAATCTCATAACAAAATTATTCAAATGAATCAGTGTCATTTGAAGATTGCACTGAGAACATGAAAATATTGTATTTACTTACAGTTACCATATACAAAGAGAAATCGTATTTTAAGGTTTCACATAGATTAAGTGAAACAAAAATAAATTTCTGCTAGAGAGGTGAGGTGGACTTTCAGCTAGCAGGCCAATGCAAGGCAAAACATGGATAAAACCTGTGCAAGAAGCAGCAGCATGTGCACGTACACCTTCCCTGTCTTGTTAAAAGTTTTCCAACTGGCCAGACCGTAGCTGACCCGGATTTCCAAAGTAGTACATCCTCCAAATAAACTCACAGTGCTCTATCAACCAGTCTGTGCATGCATTTTGGGGTTCCCCCACCCACCTAAGCATTCCCACCATGCAGTAGTACCTCGTTGGCCAACCCTGGCCAGGAGACGAAGCAGGGGCAGGAGGATGCTGTGGTCGGGGGGCTCGGTGCAGGCAGCAGAGATGAGGGCCTGCAGCAGGGCCTCACTGCCCCCTTTGCTGATCACATACTGAATTCTCCGTCCAGTCCCTAGGGAAATGAGGGCAAGAGTAAAAGGCTTTGATCAGAGCACCTTTGCCCCAGAGCAACAGTTATTGATAGCTTTCAACCTGCACAATGCATACAAAGGCCTTCCTGTGTTGTTTTATTGTTATAAACTCCAGGGTGTTTGCAGATTTGACCTCTTGGGTGCCCCCAGATTGGAGATGTGGCTCATGGTTGTGTGGTGAAACCATTGTCTATGCTTCTTCTTGCTCCAGCGGTCCTTACTTTTACAAACCTACGTCCTGCTGGTTTTTCATTGTGCATTGAAATGCAGCAGAGAGGAATAAGCAGAGACACCAGCAGATTTCAAAGGAGCAGAAGGCTCAGTGATCTTTTCTTAGATATTGGAAATTAAACTAGCAAAGGAATAAAGCTCTGGATGTCTGCCAAAGGAAGAGGAATCCTAGGGAAACTTTGGAGACAGCTTTCAAACAAGGTCTCCAAAGAAACCACACACTAATCCTGTGAGCCCCACTGCATCGGCAGTGATCCATGTGCATCTCTGGCAGCTGTGTTAGCTCTCCATGGTTGGTGGAAGCTGCATGTTCAGCCCTCAGAGCACCTGGAGGGGAGATAGTATCTTCTGCCCTCAAGCAGGCAATCCTTCCATCTAACTGAGGAATAAATCTGCAGGGCTTCAAAAGAGAGATTCAACTGGACTGGTGTTGTCTGTGATGGGGCTGTGAGGAGTGGGTAATGCAGGAGGCTTCAATTCTTGCCAACGCAGCCTAGCAGCTCGGTTGGATTGAAAATTGCTTAGCAAAAGACATTTTTGAGGTGGAACAGCAGGAAAAATAAATATTCTTTCAGTTCTTGTGCCAATTCACTTATTTTTTTCACGTTGCTTGGGCACATGCAGCAACATGTCATCCCTGCAGCCCTGAAGTGAAGATGCCGATGGGAAGGTGATGAACTCTCTCCATCAGAGTCCCTGCAGTGCAGGAAGTCAGGTTCCTCTCTCTGTTTCACAACCCAACCTCCAATGGCACAGGTGAATATTTCTGGTGGTTGACTGCCAGGGATTATGAAAACCTTGAAACTCATGGGCTTATTTTGAACTAAAATCAATAGAGATTTTTTGCCTTTTTTTTTTTTTTATAACTTAGAGCAAAAATTCAATTTTCTGGACATGGAAGTAAGGACTGAGTAGCTATAGGTGCAATTCATATTTTGTTCACCCTGCAAACACCTGGCTGAGTGTACACAGATCTGAATTCCCTGCCCTGCTCAAACAACCCCTGCCTGCCCTTAGCCTGCAGGCATTGCCCCAGAGCTCAATTCCTTACCCAGAGAGAGCAGGTCAGTGAGGACGCTGAGAATGTTCAGCAAAACATCCTTGTCACAGGAGCTCTGAAATGGAAACACATCATCTTCAGGGATAAAATCAGAACAGTGAACTTCGTGCTACACCGGGCTGCAGTGCCACATGCGGTGCAGAGGCACCAATATCCTTGCTTGGATACTGAGTACTTTTTGTGCCATCTGTCCAGTGAATATGTGCAGCCATACTGATAACACATTGTAAAAGCCTCTGACAGACATACTGATCATACCACACAATATTTAATACACAGTAGCATTTCTGCAGAATTTACATCTAAATTCTAAATTACATCTCTTTCTTTTTTTCTTTATCACACAGCAATGCTAAATGTGTGGTGGTTTTCAACGAGAACATCCCTTATTGCAGCACCTGGAAAAGAATAACTTTAAATTATATTCATCTCATTTACAAGAAAATTACCCTGTCTTTGCAGTTTTACAGCCACAACCACATGGAAACCTGGAGTCTGGGGAGCAGAAAGATGCCCTAAACTTATTTTTAATCAAGTCTGAGTAAGCACCACACCCTGCCATCACACATTCTGCTTTAGATTCACTTTAAATTTTTCTCTAGAGGAAATCAGATACAGTGTACTCGAGGAGAAGGGAACACATGATATCTACCATCCATCTGTGTGATACACTAGACCTCTGCTTGAATCCTCCTCCAACCAGATTTCATTGCTAAGACTGAGGAATTAATCACCGGTCTGTATTGTTGTATGCGAGATCTGGGTTAAGTTCTAGATGTCTTAATATCCGTAAAGATAAAACACAACACAAAAGAAATTTCCAATATAATAGAAAAGTTTCATTTGTGTAGCTTTGGTCCTGAATAACATTAGGTGTTTCACATAAGCTATACCGGAATCACCGTATCTCCCATTAAGTTATTAAAATAGGATAATATCTTATACATATCTTACACATGGCTCCTATATTTCTGAATGTTGAAGCGCTTCAGAAACTTTACCTACTAGGACATATTCTGGATATATGCAATTATTTCACCAGCCAAAACGACTCAACCATTCTCTGACACATTGAACATTATGCAACTGATGATATAAGACAGGGAATCAAGAAGTAACACGTAGCAAAAAGAATGTGTAGAAGGAACATTTGGAAATTCTGCCTAATTCAGACCTTTAATAATGACTATTATTAATGCAAGCAGACAATTTATTTCCAGTGGATCCCTGCTAAAGTCACAGCATAAGCTGAAATGGTGCTGCAGATGGTGTAGCTAATTAGGCAGCTCTGTATCATACCCTTTCACCGCTATAGTGGGGGAAGATATGCCCTGAGTGAGACACGGGAATGAAGCATATGAATATGCTTACATATGCTTATATGCATATAAAAATAGGAAGCTTGTTGAAACCAAAAGGGTCGGTGTGATGGGATTACCAGGTCTTTCACAGCCAAGACAAAGAGAATATATGACTTTAACAAAATGCATTTACTCTTGTTTCAGCTTCACCTTAGAGAGCCTTTCCAAATCCAACTTACTGGCTCAAGGGACCACACAAGGGAAAGAGAGCCTTTTTTCAAGAGAGAAAAAGCTGCAATAGGGTCAGAGTGGCTACGAATACCATTGCTTCTTGGTAACATATAGTTTCAGTCACATGATAATCCTGCTAATTGGTGTCTTTGTTCATTAGTCCACAATCCTGTGCTGTTCCAAGTCTCTTGATTTCAGAGGAAATAAACAGTGATCAGAGCTCTCTTCCCAAGAGTTCTGTGGCATTTTTTAGCATACGGACTTAATAGTCAGGAGCAAGCTGTCAGGGGTGATGAGTGTCCACCAAATTTACTGACTCCAGGAAGAGTTACAGTCCTCAGCACCTTTTTAAATATCAGCGTTACTGTCCTCTGGTTTTGTCTTGCTGCCTCTCAGTATCCCTTTCCTCTGTAGGTGGATGGATTACACATTAAGGTTTCAGTAATGAAGTCTTCATTGATTTATGCTCCTATTACACTGGGCTGTTTATTTTAACTGATTGGATTGTGGGTTTCCTAAGCCATTAACACAAATAGTGATGACATAAGATATCCTCTGACTTTCCATGCGCTTTATCCAGGGACACAGATGAACAAAGAACTTGAGGGGATGTGAAAGATCAACCTTTAAAATGTGCAAATTAGAGCTGGGTGATATTGCCAAATATTTTACCTGAGTATTTACTCTTGGTATTTTAACACTGAAACTCTAATTGTGTTGGTGCACCATCATTCCCTTTCCTCCAGAGCACTAATGAGGGAATTGGAGGGCTTGTGTGTTTGCTGAAACAGTGGATAAAACCCTAGTCCCATTAGAAATTATAATATATTTCCCACTGACTTTAGTGGCACCAGGATTTCAACCACTGAATAATACAGAATATCACAGAGGAGTACAGCTCCAATTCATGATAGCCAGGCCAAATATATATATGTATATATATATTATATATATACACACACATATATATATATTTATATATATATTATATATATATTATATGGCTATAATTTTATACTATATATATTATATATATATTATATATAAAGCTCTAAAAGCTCTACAGTTGTTGTCTTACAAGATGATGACTTGCCTGTTGAATAGAGACAGCTCAGATTTTTGGCTAATTAACTCGTTATTTTCTAAAACATCAAAGAAATCTGGACATTGAGTTCCAGGAGAATTAGTTGTTTAATGCTCATACCAAACTGTGGAAGAATTGCCAACAAATTCATTCATAAAAAATATTCAGTAAATCTTTTTGAACAGTAAATACAAATGAGAAAATCACAACTTGTGCCTGATCTAAAAAAGATGAATAGGGTAATTTCTTTAATGCAAATTACTTACCCAGCTCTGGTTAAAATAAACACATTAGTTATTTTTATTGAAAGATATGTTTGACTGCTCAAGAACAAATGGTAAGCAAGGAGAGAAGTAAAATTCCTCTTGCTAAATATTTTCCATTCCTGCCAGCACTTACGAATGTTACATACAATATCTGTACACGTACAGACTAATGAAGATGCATTCATGGTATATGGGTGGAATGAGAGCAGAGAAAAGATCCCAGAGGCTCAAGTTAGATTACAAAATCGCCAGCCTCCTGCAGGATTTCACTAAAAGGATTTAGAGTCAGAGCCAAATTGTTACCTATTAACAACAGCCTGTAGCTGCCTTTCACGGCTTGCAGCTGGACAAGGTCTAAAGTAACAAAAAGCATCACTTAAAATATTAAGCATGGCTGTACTTTTTAGCCAGAGCCCCCCATCTTAGCCTTACTTCAGTGAAGCCTGCTGTTTTTCTCACCCAACTGGGAGTATCACAGGGCTGAGTTCAGATGCATTTAATCAGCTTCCAGCTGATAGTTCCTCTCTGAGACTTTTCTGAGCTGTTTCTGGGAATTAATCCCTGAAACACCAGGGCTTTGGTTAGCTTGGCTGAAGCTCCTCATACATAAACAGCAGAGAGATAGAGAAAGCCAGGAATAAAAAATACCCCAGCATATAGGCATTGATACATCCAGGCAGCAAATGATTAGTTAGTGACATTGGATTTGGAGGCCAACAGCTCCATCCCAAGATCCTTCCGACTGGCAGCTCAGATTATTTTGCTGACCCACAAGTACGCAGGGAAGGAGTTCCTATCTCCTCATCCTGCTCCTGGGAACATGCCAAGAAAAGCTGTTATTTACTCAAGACACGATTATAAAATTCCAACTAAGCCACAGAACCAGGTAATCTCATTTCAGCAGACAAGTCACCTGGGATTTTTTCTCCATGTTTTGAAGAGCCACCAGAGATTATTTTTCCTGTCCCACCTGAAGGACAGCAGCTATTGGTGCAGTTCCCCTGTTAGTGCTGCCCTCAAATGAAGAATTCCCAGAAACGCAGTCATCTGTGTAGCTCTTGGGCTTTCATGTCTTTTGCCCAAAGGTACGTATTTCTCCAACTAAGACATGCAAATTAATGAGGGTGTTTACTGTGAGTCTAAGCACTGTGGCTGAAAAAAATGAAGAATGCCCAGTAAGAAATCATACAATATTAATTTGTGCAGCATGATATTTACTAATAAATATTTTATTTGAGGAAAGGAGTACAAAGCTGTTATTCCACCCGCAAAAATTATGAATGCAAAATTAAAGAAGTAACTTCTGGAAGGCAACGGATAACGTGTTTTCTAACAATGCTCCTATTAAATTAATTGTTGGCTGTAGTCCCACAAAGCTGTGTGACTACTTGGAAATAAATATATAAATATATAAATGTATGAATATATAAATATATTAATACATGTATATTTATATATAAATAAAAGATCTGGGCTAGCACACTTCTAGAGTTGTTTTTTTTTAGAGAGAGGCTGAGGAATAGGATGTCCAGTTCCAAGTTTTATTTGTTTGTTTGCTTGTTTTTAAATAGCCTGTTTCTAAATAGGGAAGCAGGATTTGACATGTTCAAAATACATCCTTCTTTCTTCTCTTACCCTTAATAAATACGCTCACACAAATAGCAGCAGTCAGAAGCCTAACTGTCTGTGTAATGACACTTGCATCTGCAAGAAAATCTCTTGTTCACTGCATTCAGAGTCTTTGGAAGAGAAAACTAGGTGCAAAGTTAAACTAGCTAAAACCAAGACTAGTTTAGGGGCTGAGAAGGATTAGCCCTCTCTGTCTCCCGAGACCTCCAGAAAATATAGAGCTGCTAATAACTGCATTAACACCTAAATCAGAGGCTCCCTTCCTGATGTTCTGCTGCCAGCGAGGTGGAGGTGTGCACCAAACCCAACTACTCAGCACCGCCAGTGTTAGGGGTTTGGCAGCTGGACATCTCGCACCTATCAGGTCTTGCAATAACCGCAAACCAGGTTCAGCGCCTTACGTTCTGCGCCTTGCCAGAGTAAATTGCTTTTTCTAATTTAAGTAGAGCTAAAAATTCATGTTAAAAAAAGGAGAGCAAAATACCCTGGAGAGTTCCTTGCTTGTGTGCTCCCATCCTCAGCCTCAATATTCAGCCAGCTAGCT